CCCTGCAGGTATAGACAAATATTTAAACTTAACATCCGATGGAGTTACTTCACTAATAATTTCAGGGCAGTGGCCACTCCAAGAATCCAGTAATAGTAATGATTTGGGTCCGGTGTTTGGGAAATAGACATTTTGTAGCCAATTTTTCATATGAGCAGAAGTCAGTTTACCAGACTTTGATGCCAAAACGAATATGTTATCTGCTTTGAACATTGTATTTATTACCCTCGGTCCAAACGTACCAGAGGATTCTAACAATGTAGAATACAATTTGTGATATTTAACCATTTTTTTTCAGTTGCTTTTTAACTCATTATTAATAAATATTTATATAATTATCCTAACTTTTGTGTTATTTAAATAGAATAAGGATAAAAAAGCTTTTTCTGTAGGGGTATGAAAGTTATTAGCGAAAATATATTTTCTACCCCAAACTTCTAACCCTTGTAAGTTCTTACAGTAGTACTACCTAATGTGTAAAAAAATCATCGTGGTAAATTGCACCAAAATCGGCAAACAATTTTCGCAAAAAAGAATAATTTTTTGGGGTGGTTAGGGTAGTTAACCCCAGCCTCCCCTTAATGTCGTATAGGGTTTATTTTACTGCGTACCTCTTAATTTACACCTAATTAATGGTTTTCTTCAAAATATTGTTCAAAAGTGTAACAGTTTATCACATTATTCTTAAGGAAAGGGGTTATCTATCTTACCCCGTAACTTTGCAGGGGATGGTCAGAGGCAAATAAGAAAAAACACGTCATTAATATTTTTAAACGTATTATAAGGATACTTAATATCGCCAAAATCGACACGGTAGTTTTTAAAATATTCCAAAAAACTAGGGGTAGTTTACCCCCTGAAGCTCTCAGATATGTGTGTGATATATCAATGGAAAGCTCTTTGAAAATGAATACCAGTTTACATTTACCGCATTTCGATAGCTATTTTCGTTTTCAACCTATAAGCGAATATATATATTTTGCCCCGATTTCCAACCCTTATAACTCGCCCCAGGGGCTTTATGAGCACGTATAAAAAATACGTAAACCTTATTTTTGTAATTCGCGACGGTAATGAAAGTTCTAACAATACTCAAACGGGTGCTGTAATGAGACTCCTTACAGCATCGGATGCTGTAATGAGATTTTAATAACATTTTATGGAACTAGTTCAAGTTGGTGACATTGGGTCGTTAATTTTTCTAGTTGTCAATGTGACAATTTTTATCTATGGATGTTTAAACACGTTCTTAGCATCGAATACAAGGTCCACAATGATGAGGACATTGAACACTGAACAATTTCTCTTATTTGGGAGGTGTACATGAAACATTTTTTTCAGGTAAATACATTTTGTGTTTTGACAGTTTCTAATTGTCAATTAAAATTTCTATTTTCAAGTGTTACGGTGTTACCAACTGCTACATACCTATTTCCCTACATTGTCAAAATTTATTTTATTTTTGTTAAAAAAAAAGGATAAAAACGCGAATTACAAAAAATAGCATAAAAACACGTTTCATAAGACTTAAAGCACTCATTCATTAAAAAACTCGTGGCTTCGCCACTCGTTTTTCAACTTGAATTCGTGCATTTCAAACGTGTCTTACGAAACTTGTTTTTTAATATACTATTTTGGCATACTATCGCTGTACCAAATTTCAACAAAATCGGTGAGGGACAGTTATGATACTTCCCTTGTTAGGAGGCTTTGCAATCTTTATCAGAAATATTTTTGACGTTTAAATGTCAGTGGTTTTCTTACTATTATTATTGTTTTTCAAATTAATTTATGAATAAAGTTCTACCGCATTTACGCTCGTTCACTCGACGTTTCAAAATTTTAAATAAAACAATAATAATAGTAAGAAAACCACTGACATTTAAACGTCAAAAATATTTCTGACAAAGATTGCTAAGCCTGCTAAGATTTTTTCTTTAAAAATTCATTCCAACTTTCGATTAACAACGCTACAGCTTAACAGTTAGTGTTTGCTTAATTAATTTTTTTCTCAGAAACTATTAACTTTTCGAAGAACATCAGAGAGGCAAAAAAGTTTTAGAATATTTTCATCTATCTAAATAAAATATTTCCAATGTATTTATCATCGTCATAAAAAAGATCTAGACANGGAAAAAATCGTGTCGTGTAAAAATTTTAGAGTAGTTGGTAAAAAGAATTAGAGTAAAAATTGTAATATCACATGGTAAAAATAACTCTAATGTACACTATATTTAATATTAATATAGAGTTCATATATTATTCACTTAATAGAGTAGTTTCTACAGTTCTCTAAAGGAGAGTTCTTTTTTACTTATGTTAGTGAAGTTATGTAATATATAAAACATTAAATTTTACACTAGACGTGTACTTTTCCTTCGGGTACTTCGTAGGCACCGCACTATTTTGCTCGAGATTACTCGTCGGTACCACGTGATTAACATGTGGTGTGATACAGCTAAAATTTAACGGCCATTTACTAAACGAGTCGGAACTCGACAACGTCTCGACACCTGATTTACGCGATATAAAAAGAAAGAACGATTATTTTTATTTTAATTATGTTTGCCAAACATTCGTGTTGTGAAATTAGTGGAACTTCCGGAAGATTTTACGTACGAGTTCCTTGCGAAGATTGGTAAGTATGTACAACTATACATACAGAAAACTTGTAGAAGACTCATTAGATGCAGTTTTCATGGTGACTCGGTGGAAACTTTAAAATGGATTAAGTATGGTTATATAAAAAGAATTTAATTTTTTTTAAATTTAAGATGTAACAATATATTACAAGTAAAAATAAAAAGAAATATATTTATAATTTTGATTTTTATTACAAACCTAAAACGTTCCTAAAAATATTCTATACTTCCTATTAAAAATTAACACTAATAAGTGAAACATAATACACACTATTTAGTGATATTTTGTCACTTAATAGAGTAAAATTAGAGCGAATTTTTAATAATTTACACTGATTAGATTAGAAATGTATCTAATTAGAGTCACGACAACATCTAGTTAGATTACATATAATACACTGTTATAGAGTAACGATTTTACACTATTTAATAAACACCATCTTTCACTATTTAGTGTAAAATTTTAATCTATTCACCTACACTATATAGTGCAAAAAAATAACTCTAAATATATTGGACCGATCTGAACCATGTTTTAGAGTTGATTTTTACTCTATATTTTTTCCTGTGTATTTCCTAAATTTCATTTTCTTGGTGTTAATGGTTTTCGGGAAAAATAAAATAAACCAACATTTTTCGCCATTTTTGAAGGGGCGTAGCTCCGCAGGGGAGTCGAAATCGCTGATAGTTTATATGAGAAAGTACCCTTAAAATTGCCTAAAGAATCACCCTCTGAAGTTTGAGCACGTCATTCAGATACACCCTGTATATATATTTATAAATCTATATATGTCGTAGGCATATTGCGAAATCCGGCTTATTACAATAAGCGCCGTCATTTTGCAATGTGCCCGGCAAATTGGAAAATTATCTCACATTTTGTAAACAGCCTGAAATTTTTTAGGCTTATTACAATAAGCCCACGCACCATCAGTCCAATTGGAAAGTGGACAACTGTTTCTTTAAAAAGCCTGGTTTTATTGAGGCTTTTTGCAATTAGCCTTACAGTCGACGGCGTATTAAGAATAAGCTAGGGTGGGGTTGTTGTGATTAACGCATTATACTTGTTGAAACGTGTGCGCCGCAGTCAAAAAGTCAAACAACGTCAAAAAGCACACGAAGGTCAAAAACGAGCGGCAGAAAAAATGATTGAAAATACCGGGAAGAATCTAAAATCGGTCACAGTTGGAAATTTTGTTCTATTAAATGTGCCGAAAGTCGACCGTGGCCCTTTAGACGCACCAAATTTAATTGGAAAAATTCTTAAAATTAATAATGATGTTTATCAGATAGGAACAAAGAGTGGAATTATCAAAACATGGTTTTCTAGAAGTGACTTCCAAATTTCTGGCGCACAATTTGTTGAAGATATCCCCGAAGAATATATATCTGTTCGTCAAGCTGTAGCAAATGAGTCAATGTTTGGAGGTCAAGGCTATAATACCTGTAAGTGTACAGTGTCAAAAACCCAATGCCAAACAAAAAAGTGCGTGTGCAGGAAAGCAAAGCAAATGTGTTCATCAAAATGCCATAAGAGTTTACCATGTGGAAATAAGTGAAAATAAAATTAGTGTTAATTAATAAAACACAAGTTTAAAAAAGTTTTTGTTAATTTAATTTTCTTTATATTATTATTGTATTATATGTTCTATTTTAACATTGATCTGAATGATCTGTTTAGTTAATATGTGATAAATGTTTATCAATAAAAACTTGTTCATCAAAAATTGTCGTTTTTCAACTTTCTTGCATAAAATAACCTATAATTAGTTCAAATACTTCAAGAATACTTTAAGGTCAGGTAATTTTCTCGGTATAATTTTAGTGAACTTATATTAGCCTAGGTTTATTGCAATAAGACTAGAAACCACCAGGCTTTTTGATGAAACTGGTGTTCACTTTCTAATTAGCCTAACTGTATGTGCGCTTATTATAATAAGCCTAAGAAATTTTAGGCCGATTAAAAAATGTGAGATAATTTTCCAATTTGCCAGGCACATTGCAAAATGACGGCGTTTATTGTAATAAGCCGGATTTTGTAATTTGCCTACGACATATATATCTCTTTGTATGTTAATTAAGTAAGTACCGATGCAGATGTACTTATCCGTGTCATGTACTTTACTACTATAGTCTTTTTTTACATCTTATTGCATACTCATAAATATATTTATATACCATCAAATTATTTGTGGCGAGGATTTCCGCCAAAGTATATGGTGCGTTGAAGTTTATATGCTGATTTAATTTCTCTAAGAGGTCAGTTCTAAATTGATCGAAGAGCGGGCATTCTAAGAAGAGGTGATTAGCATCTCCATGCGCTCCGCATTCACAAAGTGGTGAATTTCTTGTTCCTATTCAGTATAAATAGTTTTCTGTTGTTGCCTGGTTTGTTCTTAGGCGACTCATTAAGGTGTAGAAATATCTGGACGCAGGGGGGTAACTCTCGAACCAGTTCTTCTTGGTAGGTTCATTTTGTATTTGCGCATACCATCTGCCTTTTATCAGTGACGACTCTTCCCATTCTTTGGACCAAGTTTCAAAGATTTTTCCTTTATAATATCTGCATATGTCCAAGAAATCGGGCTTAATTTGTTCTGGTTGTAAATCCAAGCCACTCTTTGCTAATTCATCAGCTCTTTCGTTGCCAATTATGCCACAATGTGATGGTACCCATACTAATATTACTTCTTGGTGGTTATTGCTCAACTCCGAAAGAATTTTTAACACTTTTATAAGTAGATAGTGGCACTGGGCCCCCATTACGATGTTGCTTATTGCCTTCAATGCGCTTAATGAATCTGAACATATAATCACTTTCCCCCACCTCTTCATTTTAATTATATCCAGACTCCTGCATATCGCTTGCATTTCCGCAGCAAATATAGACATATATTTTGTTAACCCATGCGCCTCTTCTATCTCACCTTTTATGGAGTAGATTCCATAACCTGCTGCATCCGGATTCCTTCTTACCGAACCGTCTGTAAAAATGATGATATGATCTGGCCACTCTTCCCTCACATATTGTTCAAAAATACCATTTGCAGCTGCCCCACCTAGCCCCGCTCTTTCTATGTAATCAAGACAGGGTAAGTTTAACTTTATGTCGATGTTTTGATATACCGCCTCATACGGTATTGTGTAATATGCCGCTTTGTTACTTTTGTGCATGTCCCATTTCGTTTCCTTAATTTCGTTCCAAACATTGACAAGCAACGGTACCTTATTTTGTTTAGCCTTTATTTTCTCTTATTGTGTTCTCAGTCTATTTAATGTAGGTGTAATAACATTGTTTATATATTTTTGATTTTTTAAGATAAATTTTCTTGCTCTTCCTACTGTCACCAACCTTAAAGGGGGTTCGCCTGCTTCCACCTCCAATACATTTGTCGGTGTGGTTAAAGGTAATCCTAATATTAGCCGAAGACCCTTGAATACGGTTTTGTTCAGCTTTGCTTGACTTGCAACTGTTAATGGCATCATTATGGGTAACATGAATTCCAATCTTGATCTTACTAACGCTCGGTATAGAGTTCTAAGTGTGAGTGGATCGCCACCCCAGCTGACTGAAGACACAGATCGTATTATGTTTAGAGCTTTTTCCGCTGATGCCACCGTCGCGTCGCTCCGATCTGCTCCTTTCAGCTCAGTTTTACGTTAATTCGTAACTCCAGATACTTGATGGTATTGATGTACTGAATATTATTGTCTGCGAATGTTATGGGAGGTTTTGCTTAATTTTTTTTTTGTATAAATCATTGCCTTTGTTTTTTGAGTAGACACCGCAAGTGTACGTTCTTCGAGCAACATTCTTAGCTTTTCCATTGCTCTGTTTATCCTTTCTACACAACTGTCTGTTGTTTTTCTACTGCAGAAAACCACCACATCATCCGCGTAAGTCAATGCTGTGCATCCTGCATCCGCAACCTCTAAATTAATACCATTTATATAAATATTGGAAAGTAGGGCGCTTAAAGGGCTCCCTTGTGCTAGGCCCCGATAATTTGTTCTCTCTCCTAATGTTCCATTATCATTCTTAATTTTAATAAATTTTCTATTATTTAGATAGTATATGGCCCGTAAGATGCGTACAGGCAGACCTTGTTGTTTCAAAATTTTTATTAATACTGGAATTGAGACATTGTCGTATGCCGCCTGCAAATCCAGAAATACAGCCACCGTAGTTTGTTTTTGTGCAAAGGCCAGCTGGATGGAACCAACCAAGTACGCGGTGCAGTGTAAAATGCTTTTTCCTCTCCTGAAGCCGAAGGTCAAATGGTCAAAACGCATTTCTTTCTCTAACCACCATTCAAGTCTATGTGCTAATACCTTTTCGTATAATTTTCTAATGCATAGAATTAGGGATATTGGTCTGTATCCTTCCGATGATTTTTTATTCCCTCCTGGTTTTGGAATTGGTACTACCGTAATTCTCTTCCATTCGTCTGGAATATTGCCCGTAGCCCATATTTTATTCAATTCTTCCCATAGTAGGCTTTTGTAAGTGGAACATTTCTCAGTAAATTATCCCAATCGTTGCTATTAAAGATAATATCCGGTGGAATATATCCTGCAACGATGGTTATATTATCTATTGAAATACATAAAAAATGTGTTCTTTCTACTGCCGACGTGATATTTTCGTGATATTTTAATTTGAGTTTTTTGTTTATTAGTAAGGACAATCCCCCGTATGAATCACCTCTACATATATAGAGGTGATTATATCCAGGGGTTGATAAAGGATATTCTTCCTTCATTCATGTTTCAGTTACAGCTACTACATGTTGTTCGTCGTCTTTTAAAAAACTGAATAGACTTGCTTTATTTTTGGGCAGACTCTTGGAATTCCAGAGTGTAATCTTTATCATATGGGATATCGTCTTCAGAATATAATATTTGTTCTTTATTAATTAATCGCATCGATGGTCTAGAGACAACTAACTGTTCTTCTTCTTCTATTGTGGTATTGGGTATTGAACTTGATGTCCGGCTGGGTGGTTTGATAGTACCGGGTTGCGAATTTTCCCTTGTTGATTGTTCAATTATTTTCTTTTTATATAGTCTCTCATGTTGTTTCACCTGTCTTTCTGGCGAGTTTTCTTTTTTTCTTTTATAGTTTTCCGTATTTCGGTTACCATCGTTTCTAATTGGCTTACGAACTATCGCAGGTTTATAGCTATTTTCGCCGGAACCCTTGACAATATCGGAATAGTCTATCAATGGTCTATATGCAGCGTTGGATGCATTGATGTTGGTACAGTTTTCTATCTTATTCGAGTTTTTTAGCGAGGGAAAGTGTTGTTGCGAGACTTGCGTATTGGATGATACAACTCTGCTTGGGTTTGTAGTTAACATATGGGCTTCATATGCCGGATAACTGTGTGTTGCCATTAACCTCTTAACTTCTTTTTGCCTTTTATATTCCGGACAGCATCTTTCTGATAGTGGTGTACCTACCTCAGTTGAGTAATGATTTTGTTTACAATGACAGCATACCATTTGTTCTGACGTACAAACTGGTAAATCATGACCTTCAGAGCACCTTGGGCATTTGACTTGCGCCTTGCATAAAATTTTTGTATGGCCACATCTACAGCATTTGTAGCACTGTATGACCGGTGCTATATACAGTTCGGGTATTCTGTATACATGGAAAAGTGAAACATGCCTTGGCAATCTTACACCATCGAATATTACCACCACCGTCGCTAAATCAACATAATAATATGTTATATTACCATCTTCGTCAATGCGTTTTCTCTTCAATCTTCTAACCCTTAATACATCTCTCTCATTTTCCGTTTTTAAATATTTCATTAAAGTTTCGTCACTCATACTTATGTCTATTTCTCGGATAATACCTCGGCAGGATACCCGGTGAGCTGGTATATACGCTCGCCAGTTGTTTACTTTGATATATTCGGATATTATGAAATCATTAGCTTTTTTATAGTAATTAAATTCAACTTCAACCCGGTTCCGCCCTCTTTTCTCCACTTTATTAATTCCTTCAATGCCACTATCGTTTTTACTAATTACTAAATCTTTCATATATCCTATATTTTTATCGATTGATTCGAAACAAATAGAGTATGGGGGTAATTCTGTACTTTTATATCTATTTCCATTATCTAAGCTAGTGTCTTCTACCAAATTATTTGACTTTTGTGAATTATTCTGTGGTTTTTCAGACGGGGATTCGCCAGATGGCTAATCCCCTTGTGACGTTTCCATTGTAAGCCGGTTACCCGGCTCTTTTATTTTTTAATATTTCTTACGTGAGGTTTAATTTATTTCTTTTTTTTTAAATTAATTAATAAGACTTACCGCGGGGCAGCCACCTATCAATTTTAACCTTATAATCTAACCTTTAAGATGCACCAGAACACCTCAGACGTAAACTCTATGGCCTCAAGCACGCGAATGTTTTGATAAGTTATCTGCATAATATCCTTGACATATTGAAAATCATCTGAAGACGAACGGCTAAACTCACCCTAGCATACAATTCACACTTGATCACGAAGTCGATCCCTTTCTTGACACTAAAGTCATCAGAAACGTGGATAACTCGATCGTTTTTGATTGGTATATTAAGCCTACTTATTCTGGTAGATATTTAAACTTTCATTCAAACCACACTTTTGGCCACAAGATAGCAACAGTATTAACAATGAAACATAGAATAATGCACATTAGTGATCGGAGGTTCCTTGATGAAAATTTGAGGTTTTTAAGTAATGCTTTTGTTAATAATGGTTACCCCCCAAAACTTATTAATAAATTGTTATTCTCTACCAACATCTTAAATACAACAACAAACACAACTGAACAGATTGTTAAATATCGTAAAATTCCTTATGCGAATGAACTTACGGGAAAAATTAAAAAAATTTTCAAGAATATTGACAACATCAAAGTGGTGGATTGTTACTATAACAAATTGCAGAAATATTTCAGTCAAGGACAGCACTGATCCAAGGGTGGCGAAGTCCTTCAGCTTCTGTTGATTCCTCCCTCGGTTGGATTGGTTTTAACCTTTTCCAATATCTTTTCGTGGTGCAGAGACTGATAATTATTACTAAAACACAAAGCAAAATTATAGGTATTAAAATAATAAACAAATAAATATAACTTCTTATCTTGCAAATTCAATTTATTTTAACGGAACCGGTTTCGACTAGTTTTACTTAGTCATCTTCAGCCGAATGGTCAATAAAAAATAAAATCAAACATCACAAAGAGCATATAAATAACATTTTAAAAAATGTGAAATTACACTTTAAAATACAATATATAAATAAATAAACTGTAAAAAGACAAAACCACATAAGTTCTTACACAAACGATGTACAAAATAACACTGTGTTAAAAATAACACTTTGTTAAAAATAACACTGTGTTATTTTGTACATCGTTTGTGTAAGAACTTATGTGGTTTTGTCTTTTTACAGTTTATTTATTTATATATTGTATTTTAAAGTGTAATTTCACATTTTTTAAAATGTTATTTATATGCTCTTTGTGATGTTTGATTTTATTTTTTATTGATCATTCGGCTGAAGATGACTAAGTAAAACTAGTCGAAACCGGTTCCGTTAAAATAAATTGAATTTGCAAGATAAGAAGTTATATTTATTTGTTTATTATTTTAATATTTAAACGAAACTTGCAACATGGATATCAACAGTTAAAATTATAGGTGTCCCTATTGAGGTCAATTTTTTAAAGGTGTTTATCGCCTGTATTTCTTCTTGTAATGATATCAGTTCCTCACGAGTTTCATTAAGTCGGGTAAATGTAATTTGTTTCAATTCAATATCTTGTTCTTTCCAGTGGGGCACATCTTCGGTTATCTTCTGCAATTCCACTGAATGGATTTGAAAGGATCGATCTTCTATCTTACTGGTATGGGCTTCCATCTTTTTTTCTTTTACGGTTATCATGCATCCTTGTGATATCTGCACTAGGAAGTTTCCTTTTATCATTCTATCCTCTTTTTTATTTTCACAATTGATAATTATTCTTTCCTCCTTCGATACAGATAGTAACCATTCGTTATTTGTTAATTGTTGTATCATTTTGAATTCCTTTTCTATTTTATAGAAACATCCCGTACCATTGTATTGATGTTTCAAAAGTCGATATTCGCATGGAGTGTAGATGTCAATGCTCTTACTACTGTTCTCACATAAGTAAAATTTTTGTTGAATTTCATTGCATTCTTCTATATCGCTAATATACCTATGATCGCTCTCAGCAAGGTATGGATTTTGGATAGATAGGATTTGAATTTTGTTCCTATAGGTTGAGGCAATGAAAAGAATTTATAATACTGGTAAGATTCTGAATCTATTAAGGGAATACCCAATATGATATGAATTTTAATGCCTTTTACGTATGCTTTTACGTCGATTGTCCTTTCAATAGCATAGATGTTTTCATCTTCTATCTTGAGAGGTAATTTTTGATGCTTTTGTATTTCCAAAAGTTCTTCTAAAAATATTTCTGTACTCAAAATAGCTGGGTGGTATGTCTTCAATTTGGCAAATGTTTTTGCTACTACTAATTTTCCTATTAATTCGTTAATAGTTTGCATACTTGTTATTAACATTAATAAGTTTGCATACAACGTATTTATTCTGTGGGCTTCCATTGCAAATATAGTAACATTTTTCAAAGTAAAATTCTAGATTTAATTACAATTTGGTTCGTTTCCAGTGTTTTTACATTTTCTTCAAATTCCTTTATTGCTTTAAAAGACAGAGAAAGATGTTGCTTGTTAACTTTTATGAATTGCTCTTGGTTTTTTCTTAATTGTTCGATTGCTTGATCGTATCTTTCTGCATCTTCGTTAGCTAGATTTCCTGTTATTGCTTTAATTACGCTTCCAACAAAATTTATTGCTCCTCTGCTTTTTCTCACCTTTGGAACTAACTGTAGCCATCCTTCATTCATTAGGTTCTTGTTTGTTGTTAACGTCGATAACATTCCTGATAATTCTTGTTTTACTAATCTTGCATCTTTACTTTGTTCGATAATTTCTTGTATTTCTTGATATCTTTCATTTAGATTATTTACTTCAATGCCAATAGGTTGTAAATCGTGTTGTATGATTAAATCCCATCTTCCCACTTTATTTACTGCTTTTCCCAGGTAGAGTGGAAAAAGTGGATCTTCTAATTTTGTCATAATTACTTTTCCATTTGCGATCCAGTAAAGGATTCCGCATCTGAAACAATACCATGCTTTAGATATCTTTTATGGTACGTTTGAACTCCTCTTTTCGTCACTACTTCCACTATCGTTGTCTCGTTGTCTCGTTGTATCGTTATCGTTGACTTTTATTATTTTATATGGTCCGAAGAAAGGTTTGGCAATCTTACTACTTTTTGTAATGTTCTTTACATAAATCATTTCTCCGATCTTCCATTCCGTTTCTTTAGTCTTTTCTGTTTGTTTTTCCTGGGTCTTGCGCTTTCTTTCCTCGTCTTTATCTCTTATTCATTTATACAAAATTTTCATACAATCTTTGTGCTTTTGGATGATATTTTGGTAAGTAGTTTCGTCATAAAACATGTCCATAGTCCTCTTGCTTTCGTATGTTCTAATAATGCCTCCATTGGTGTTAAACCTGTCGGTGTTGATATGGTGTTGTTATATGCTATTATAGCACTTCTTATTTGCTCTTGCATCGTAGCAGTATTATCTTCTTCTAAACATCTTAGGTGCTCCACCAATGTTGAGTGAAATCGCTCTACATTACCTTGCGATTCGGGATTCTTCGCTGTTGTTACATGCAAGTTTATTTTATGAATTTTTGCGAGCTCCTTCACAATTTCGTTGTTGAATTCTGCGCCTTAATCTGCACGTATTTCGTTCGGTATCCCATAGTATGCAAAATACGTTAACAGGGCATCCACGATTTCTGTCGGATTTTTACTTTTTATTGGTATCGCTTGACCTAGTTGTGAGAATGAATCGACAATGGTTAGATATTTTCCTTGATTTATTGAAAATATATCGACAAATAGCTTCTCTATGGGTGTTTTCGGTGTGTACGTTATCGGTAATGGTGGTACTTCAAGACCTCTGTTATATTTACTTCTGTTACATACTTCGCAATTCTTTATGAATTTGGTAATCGTGTTTTTCATTTTCTTCCACCAATAGTTCTTTTGGAGATGTTGTAACGTTTCTTCAATTCCTCAATGGTTAGTTATACCTTGATGGTGTCTGGTAATTATTTCTACTTGTTCTTTCGGGTCGATTATTACTCTTACCCTCTTCAACCATCTAATTATTCTGAGGCCATTATCACTCATTATTTTCGTATAAACTTGACATAATTTTTGGTACAAATCCTCCTCGTCGGTATGGATGTTGAATGAAGTTTTTTTCTGTCATATACTCTTTATAAATCTTTGCAACGCTTTCTTCACAATTATCTTTTGGTGATTTGATCTGGTAGATTGTTTTTTCATCCTTTTGTTCGAAATGGATCTTCATATTCCTTCCTTGTCTCCATGAGAATAAAAATTGTTTCTTTTTATTATCTATAGGTGTTTTTCTAATTTCAATTGCTCTTTTTGGTTCTTGTGTATGATTTGAATGAATTGTATCAGAGTCGTCATCTTGATTTTCAGAGTTTTCTTTCATAGTTATTTCTTTTCTTGCAGTTCCTGTTCCTAATTTTTATCTTGAAGGTTTGGTCTGTCCTAATATCTTTATAGACATTTCATCTGCCAATCTTAGCAATTCTTCATCGTCTATGTTTGGTAATAATGATGCTTCATCGTCTGAATCCATCATGTTTCGTTGATCTAATTTTATTC